ATTGTAACATCTATAAATTACTTGTATCTCAGATCGGGACGCGAAACTCTGCTCGATCCGGACGTGCGAACTCCCGGCAGTATTGCCTCGCACCTACGCGTGCGGTCGCAGCGTGCAACATTGATGTAGTAAATATCAACAAATCACTACACACTACATCAATTTCGTATGAATACATATGCACAAAAAGAAACGCAAAAAGTCAGTGAAAAACATTTTAAAAAAATTGCATGGCATGTATTTTGTAGGAAAAATTTTGCTCTACAATTTCTATTCTTATCATTTTTTGTGTAAAAGTAGCGATTTCGGAGAAATTTGCGACGAAAAGATATGCTAAAGCAATTTTTCTATGAGCGCTTTAGTGACTTTAGCGCTTCCCGTGACTTTAAACCCTAATTGAGAGATTTCTATGGGAATTAGCTTTATGGTGCATTAAACCTTTTTAATGCAAAATTTTATGGCGAATTTTTTTAGTCCTATGATTTTTTTCACGTCCGAGTATTGATTTAGATGATAAATGAGGAAAACTCCAAACGAGACCGCTCTAAGGGTAGTTTTTCGTCCAAAAGAGAATGTTCCATCGACGATTAGTGTGGGAACTTTTTTTAGTTCCTTATTTTAACCCTTTTGAGAGTTCATTTACAAAAAATCAAAACTATATAACTTTTTTCTTCTATTTGGCTATTTTTTGTCTAATTTGCCTGGACTAAATATTTTTTTACTTACATTCCTTATCAAGGGGGGAGTACTGTTAGAGTCCTAGATTATCAGAGAAGCGCGACCGGCTTATGGCAGTATCGCAAAAGTACTAGAAAATATTAAAAATGGCGTCGAATGGCCAATCATAAGATTGATTTATTCGGCAGCCATTTATAATAGCGATAAATCAATCTTATGATTGGCCATTTGCGTGTCCAATCAGGACTCGTAACACCGGTCGCGCTTCTCTGATAATCTAGGACTCTAAGTACTGTAGGGATTCTAGTGACATTAAGTTGCACCTTGTGCATTCCTACTATATTTAGTTCAGTTAAGCTTCTAGTATATACTTATTCTATGTTCTTGTTGAGCTATCACTTTTTGGCGCACTTCCTGATTTGATTCGCGCGTGGCGCTCGGTACGGTACGGAAGTGTTTTTCGCGGATTATCGAGCTCTCGCTTTTATACTAACGCGAATTTAATATTTTAAAAAAATTTTTTTATATTGTAAGCAATATGTAAATTTAGAATTGATCTTTATTATATATAAAATATACTAACGCGAATTTAATATTTTTTTAAAATTTTTTTAAACAGATCCAATTGCAAAAATTTAACATTTATTTAAAAAACTTTAAAAATTAAAACTTTTATTATTATTTGTATGTATAGGGAAGAAGATTCACGATCGATGAAAAAGTTTTGGCTTTATCATTGTATAAGCAATCTGGATCTTGTTACAACTTATTATCAAAATTATTTGTTTCACCAAGTATTACAACTCTTAAATCTTTGTTACGAACAATTTCTTTACAACCAGGAATTAATAAATTTATGTTTGAGCATCTTCGGCAACATGTTACAAAAATGCAAGCACGAGATAAATTATGTGTATTATTGTGGGACGAGATGTCATTAGAAGCCAATTTGCAGTATGACCAATTAAATGATAAAATAATAGGCTTTGAAGATTGGGGACATAGACGTACATCATTAATAGCCGATCATGCATTGGTTTTTATGGGCACGAGGAATTGTGAAAGGGTGGAAAATACCATTGAGTTACAACTTCTGTAAAAGTCAAACAAAATCTGCACAGTTATTAAGATGTATCAAGGAAATTATAAAAGAATTAACTCAAATTGGTTTGACAATTATTGCAACTGTATGCGATCAAGGAGGACTAAATATGGCAGTCATTAATAAACTTCTCGAGGATTCAAGAAGGAAATGTATACAAACTGTAGGGTTGAGAACACATAAACATGCACTTCCGTTCCTTTACATATATACTCCATGGCTACGCCATATTGTCGCCATCATCGATAACAGAGTTCCTATCTACAAAACATATACTCATGGTTCTTCTCCGCGATCCGTAGACATTATCGCCCTCATTCCTTTTGTAACTTCCAATAAAGCAAGTTGTTGTGTTATACGAGTGTCTATACCGAAATCCTCTGATTCCCACTCTTATATAGGATAAAACCCCTACAAAACAAATCAAGAACATTGTGAGTATAATCGTAAATAATATAAATATAAATATAAATATAAAGAATATTAATAAATAAAAAAGAAAAATTAAAAGAAATATTTAAAGTTAAATATTTGTATAATAACATAAATACATATCATAATCTCATTAATTTTTTTCATTTATTTTATTTTTAATATATATGAATATATATTAATATTAATATATATTCTGTTTTAATTAATATATATTAAAAAACTAATTTATATAAATATATGATAAAAAATATAAATAATATTAATATAAATAAAAATAAATAATATAAATATAAATATAAATAATATTAATAAATAATACGTAAATGATTCTTATTTTTTTACAACAGGAGGTATTATTGAACTTTGTGGGCAAAATATTGTACCCATCTATGATCCACCACATCTTATAAAAGGAATTCATAATAATTTATTAACTAAAGATTTAGAAGTTAATGTTACTACAAATTTAAACAAAAATGAACGACAGTTTGCATCATGGGATATCATTGAACTTGCATACAAAACGGATATTTATACAAATACATTAAATCGTCAATTGCCAAAATTAACTGATGAACATGTAATTAAAGCAAAAATTAAAAAAATGAAAGTTAAATGCGCTACTCAGATTTTTAGTGCAAGATTATCAGCATATATTGAATACAACAGCAAAATCAAAAGTAATTTAATAACAAATAAAAATAATAATAAAAAAAAATAAGTTAATTAATAAATAAATTGTTAATAAATTAAATAATATATTTGTATGTACTTTATCTTTGCAGAAGGATTTGTCGATTCACAGATTGGTCCGCTACAAATACCGAACAAAACATGATACGGCAATGGTATTAGATTTTTTTAATAAAGTTTTTGATTCCGTGAACGCACATACTTTGCATCCACAAACTCCTTTACGCGCTGCAGTAACAAACAATAGTAAACATCATCATTTTTGGCCATATGCTATTAAATTATTGTCTGACATGCGATATGTAGATCCAAAAACTAAGAAACCAGTTAAATGCATACCATCATTAAAAAATTGGATTAAAACTTTACGTGGATTTGAAAACATATGGAAAGTAATTACTAACGCAGGCATCCAATTTTTAAAAACACAAAATATAAATCAAGATCCTTTAGAAAATTTTTTTGGAATGATTCGTAGCCACGGACGTCGAAACATTAATCCCTCATGTAGTCAATTCTCTGGATCATATAAAACATTACTAATAAATAATTTAACTTCAAAACGCTCTGTAAGTTATAATTGCGAAAATGAAAATAATGACGATTTACTTTTTACGTTAAAGCAATTTATAACAAATGATCAAGTAATTAACAATAGTGAACAAATAGTGGAAGAAGATCATATTGAATTATCTCAAATCACACATCAAACAATAGTCCATAAAGTTTCACCTAATAAAAACAGTCAAGCATATGTTGCTGGTTGGATTGCAAAAAAAGTTTTATCTTTAAAACAATTTAAAAATTGTGAATATAAACAGAGTCTTTTAACGTCAGATACTACATGCGAAGAGTATCTTATACAC